TGTCTGTGTATGCATGTGTTTATCTGTACTCTGCAGGCTACTGACAGCGCAGAAGGCATTACAAGCGGAGATGACGGCTAAACAGAACATTGCACAAGAAAAGTATGGACTTATGTTCCTTCTTCTCGTTCACATGTGTGCTATAATGATCTAGTAATACCGGGTAGTGCAAACATTGCTATCACTGCTGTCTCGGGGGGGGGGGGGGGGGGGGCGCAATGGAGCAAGTTTGAGTTATTGCATGTCAACACATCCTCAGCCTTGCGCTGGCGCGAAGTGTACGAGCTGCCATTTTTTGCCGCTGCTCTTTCCTGCTTCCTGTCAAATTCTTACTTGGTAGGGTTGTGTTGGATGTAAAACAGAAAGGCAATCCTGATAAGTTCTACCAAACTATTTGATATACAGTAAAACCTGTCACGACGACCACTCGGATACGGCGGCCACCTGTCCTAGAAGACCACTGCAGCCAGAGCCAAGGGATGCTATTTCCAGTACAATGACCCTGGATAACTAGACCACCTGGTTACAGAGACCACACTTTGATTGTCCCTTGAACGGTCGTCTTGGACAGGCTTCACTGTAGCTCCTATTGCTTGAGGAGCTGCATCTGCGACTTGATCTGCGATTGTGGTAGTGTTCCTACGGATGGGTAAATTTAGTTTGACTGGATCGAGAGAGAGAGAGAGAGAGAGAGAGAGAGAGAGAGAGAGAGAGAGAGAGCCATGGGACGTACACGCATGGGGGTACACTCAGGGAGAGTTTTGGTTGCTCATGGCAGTGTTAGATGTACCGAGATGCAGAGCCTTGTGCGCGTAAAAGGAAGGAAACAAAGCATTTTGCTGTAAGTCTGAGCTTCATGATTGTACTGTTCATCAGACAGCAACTCCAGCAGTTGCTGTCTGATGATCACTTAAACTGTTAAACTCGGACATTCAGCCAAATGCCGTTTGTTTCCTTCCTTTCTTGTGTACTGTAAGACCGCCGATTTTAACGAACACTTCATTCTAACGACTTTCTAACGACTTTCAAGTCGTTAGAATGAAGTGTTCGTTAAAGTTAGCGGTCTTACAAACGGATTTAAACGATTTGTTAAATTTTGAAGTCGTTATGTGCAAGACAGTGTATGTATACAGCCATTCACCCGTTTTGACAGACGGAAATTTTTCACATTTCACCTCGTTTACCAGTATAATTATGGAAGTTCATTTCAGTTTGGTTCTGTACCCGTGTGTCCTTGTGCCCAGATCATTGCTCAGCGTGGAACTACAGGAGATGCTGCGCAAGCAATGCGATGATGTCATCCAGATTCTGAGTGCGTCAGACTCCAAGCTGGACACGTCAATGCACGCTGCACCCACAGCACACGCTGAGCAGCATCTGGGCATCTCGGATCCTTTGCCTGCTGCAGGTGTGAGCGAGCAACGCGTCGCTGTGACTATGTCTATGGCCGACGCACTAGCACCTGGCTCACTGCAGCAAGTGAGCAACGAAGCAACAATCGCTGACCAAATTGCAACTCAACGCCCAGGCAATGCATCCTCTGCGCCTGATGCTCGCGCCACAACGGCACGGAATATCGCCACGCCAACGGGTCCTTCATGGCGCTCTGGCCTTCACCAAGCTCCCGTGTCCACTGTCGCCATCCATTCGGGGCATGCTATGGAAGGTCGTACACCGACAGGCTCACCCCACCGACAGGCAGACTCCAGCAGTTCGCACGCACCTGTCAGAGGCACGGCTAGTCTCCAGCAATCACCAATCGTGGCTTTGTCTGATCGATACAGCAAAGTACAAACTAGAGGCGGTATTAGTCAAAGCAGTGCTCATCCTTCGTCTGTTCAATCGGCCGCTCTGCCAAGCAGCACCGGTGATGTCCGCGAGCGTCGTGCAAAAGAACAGCTCGCTCTGCTTCTCTCTCGTATTAACGGCCAAGCGTACAGAGCTAGTGCTGGTGGTGGTGGTGGTGCTGGTGGTGCTGGTGGTGGTGACGCTGAGACAGCCCAGACTGGGCCCGCAGTCGGCAGTGGCGGCGCTCAACCTCTTTCCGCCGAACAGCAAAGCAGCATTCACCACCCTAGCCAAACTTCACAGTGCAATACGCCACGTGTCCTGGATAATGCTGCACTTATACCACGCTGCAGTGGAGATGGAGCTGCAGCGACTACCACCTCTCTCGCTACCAGCTCATCACGTACGGTATTGGCACCGCATACCAACTCAGCATTCGAGCATCATGCCAGTAGTGAGAATGAGAGTGATGGTGCCGGCAGTGGTGATAGGACGGTGGATGGCGAGTCATCTGATGCCATGGAAATGTAAGATTGCCCCCGGTGTAGAATGTACGCGGCGGTGTGTTGGTATGTGTGTAGTTTGAACTACAAGGTTGACAGTAAACGGGCGATTGCAAACTTGAAAGTAACAATTCTGCGAGCAGTGGTGTATCTCTGTGCAGATTCTGTGGGGAGTCGTTGCTTCTGACATCCCATCATCATTATTTTATTTTATTCCCGTAGCTATGCAGAAGACGTTACTTCAGTAACGTCTTCTGCATAGCCAGGGTCCACACAGCTTTAATTTGGTGTTTGTGTGTTTGTGTCACGCCTGGCGCTATCCCGTATCTGTCCCGTACCGTACCGTACCATCAAACACAGCTGGCTACATACAGCAGGCCGCACTATTCAAATAGGGCTTTCAAACGCAAGATCATAAAGTGAAGCAACTTGGAAGAATGAGTATGAATGCGAAGTGTATGGGGGAATGCATGTAGGGCGATAGTGCGGGTTCGAATCCCAGGTAATGCCTGAAAAAAGAGGAGAATTGAAAAATTTATAACATCCCTATTCTTTTTTTGCCGTCATCAAGGCGGTAGATGGTGTCGTATTACCCTCGACCGTACCTGTCTCGTCCCTGTCCCGTACCGTACCGTACAATCAAAGACGGCTGGCCACAATGCATATTCAAATAGGGCTTTCAAATACAAGATCATAACGTGAAGCAACTTGGAAGAATTAGTATGTATGCGAAGTGTATCGGGGAATGCATGCAGGGCGACAGTGCGGGTTCGAATCCCAGGTTATGTCTAAAAACAAAAAGTAGAAATTTATCAGAATTTATAACATCCCTATGCTTTTTTTGTCTAGGTCATCAAGGCAAAAAAGCATAGCGTAGGGCCCTGAGCTTCCAAGCTCTCTCGTTTTATTTCACCGTCCAATGGCAGAAGCCAATGCAAAGGAGGGGGCGTTAGCCAGCCATGGCAAGAGAAGAAAAAAAGAAGGAAAGAAAATGATTGGTATAAATTTGTTTGGTTTGTGGATTACAACTTGTTTGTCTGCTTGTGTGTATCAATAATTGAGAACGGCATAACATGATATTCCTCTACAAATTACAGTGGACTGACGTGACATGATCTATTCTTTGAATTCTTCAGGTGATGTGCCCATGCCTGTGCCCGCGTATATAGTGAGGTTGTGACTGGCCTTCAATACAATCATTTAGTGTGTTTTCTCAATGTTTTCTTTCCACTCTAGGTCCACGGTCAGTTCATCGTTTGTGGAGAGGCTTCAGGCACATCAGAGTCGGCAGAACGATCTTCTCAGCTATCTGGAACATGTTCTGCAAACTTCACCCAGGGCCAACACAGCCACAGCAACCACAGCAGGCACCAATGTTACTATGAGCAATTCTGGAGGAATTGCAGTTAAGGTACGCGTGACAGTTATACTTTTGTACTGTAAATTGTTGTTGGCACTATCTTGCTAAGCATGCATTGATCACCTGCTAAGCATGCATTGATCACCTGAGTTCATGTGGTGCATGCATTGATCACCTGAGTTCATGTGGTGCATGCATTGATCACCTGAGTTCATGTGGTGCATGCATTGATCACCTGAGTTCATGTGGTGCATGCATTGATCACCTGAGTTCATGTGGTGCATGCATTGATCACCTGAGTTCATGTGGTGCATGCATTGATCACCTGAGTTCATGTGGTGCATGCATTGATCACCTGAGTTCATGTGGTGCATGCATTGATCACCTGAGTTCATGTGGTGCATGCATTGATCACCTGAGTTCATGTGGTGCATGCATTGATCACCTGAGTTCATGTGGTGCATGCATTGATCACCTGAGTTCATGTGGTGCATGCATTGATCACCTGAGTTCATGTGGTGCATGCATTGATCACCTGAGTTCATGTGGTGCATGCATTGATCACCTGAGTTCATGTGGTGCATGCATTAGTGTACATGGTACTTGTAGAATAGCTAGCATGCGAAAAGAGAGAGAGAGAGAGAGAGAGAGAGAGAGAGAGAGAGAGAGAGAGAGAGAGAGAGAGAGAGAGAGAGAGAGAGAGAGAGAGAGAGAGAGAGAGAGAGAGAGAGAGAGAGAGAGAGAGAGAGAGAGAGAGAGAGAGAGAGAGAGAGAGAGAGAGAGAGAGAGAGAGAGAGAGAGAGAGAGAGAGAGAGAGAGATGGAGAGAGAGAGAGAGAGAGAGAGAGAGAGAGAGAGAGAGAGAGAGAGATGGAGAGAGAGAGAGAGAGAGAGAGAGAGAGAGAGAGAGAGAGAGAGAGAGAGAGAGAGAGAGAGAGGAGGAGAGAGAGAGAGAGAGAGAGAGAGAGAGAGAGAGAGAGAGAGAGAGAGAGAGAGAGAGAGAGAGAGAGAGAGAGAGAGAGAGAGAGAGAGAGAGAGAGAGAGAGAGAGAGAGAGAGAGAGAGAGAGGAGAAAGAGGAATGTGTCATGTTGGAAGTTTGAGATGTCATTTTCGGCCAGAAAAAAACTTCCCTTCACATCTCATGACCTGCCGACTGCCATGCTAGATGTGTGTACATAAGAGTGAGTACATCCAGGCTTTACATCCAGTTGTTCCACTCCAGATATACGGTGCTGGTCAATGAAATCCAGTCGTGTCACCCAAGTCTACGCCTTGTACCATGTCTCAGCCCAGTGTTGACAGGTCTGCGGTTATGCAACGGCCGGCATGGCGTACTTGAGTGCCGTGACTGGATTTCATTGAGTAGTACTGTAGTCTTAGTGGCTATGTGCACTGTGTCTCACATTGACCAGGTGATTCTATGCCGTGTGTTTACCAGTATCCTTTCGTTGTTTTGTGGGTTGACGTTGTTGTCGTCGTTGTGGCTGCATCCTTTTTGTGTGATCCAATTAGTCGGATGACAGCGGTGCAAACACATTTCTACAGCCATCCACTGCTCACCCAGCTCCTCCTGCACACAACACTGGTCCATCTTCTCGTCAAGGATCAAACGGTTCCGAGATGCACGCTACACCAGTAGCGGGCCCCCCTGAACACCTCACCGACCTTTCTCACCAAACTGGCAGGGATCAACATGCAGCGGAGTACAATGCTGTGACGTCATTGCTGAAGGAAGTTCTCGGCCCACTGCTCAGCCAACTTGATTCCCATGCCTCGTCACCACCAATGATGGCATCATCAGTGGCTAGTCCCCAGACTCCCCATGTGATGACATCACACTCCAGTGGTAGTGTTCCAATCATGATATCATCAGTGGCTCACCCTTTGGCCAGTGCCCATGTGATGACATCATCCCACTCCAGTGGTGCTGCTCCTCCCATCATGACATCATGGGATCCAAGCAGTGCTGATGCCACCAGCATACATACCATCGGTGCTAGGGACCCTAGTCGGCATTCAGCATCAACCTTTACCGTGGCAGATGATTCCAAGGCTGCCGACTTCTCGGATGTCGATCCGGAGTCTTGCTATGTTTCTCCGGTCGTGGATACGTCGTTACCTCGCCTTGCGTCATCAATACGCTACACTGCTGCATTCCCTCATCACCACCATCATCATCATGTTGGAGAGAGTGTTACGGCAACATCTGGGTTGGCAGCCACCGGTAAGTGTGAGATCCCGTCTCTCATTCTAGTATTCTACTGATACTGAAGGGATTTTCCCGTTCTGTTACACCTTCACTGGGGAATTTCCCACTGTATCTAGTGAGTACGGTGACACAGCTGTCTAAGACGACCACTGCTCAAGGGACCTTCAAAATGTGGTCTCTGTAACCAGGTGGTCTCCTTATACAGGGTCATTTGACTGGAAATAGCATCCCTTGGTCCTGGTTGCAGCGGTCTTCTAGGACAGGCGGTCGCCTTTTCCGAGTGGTCGCCATGACAGGTTGTCCTGTATCTGTATCTGTTGAGTTGAAACTCATCACATACACTTCACGCTGTGCCGGCTAGGTTTGAGATTAATTGATGAATATGTAGAATACCTATCCCAATGTATTCAGTTACAGTTGAACTCTAAAAATGCGTCGCCCCATGGCGAGCTTAGAACATGAATAAACTGCACCCTTTCCCCGGATCGCAGGCAGGTGTAGTGGGATGGTCTAAGACCATGATTGAGAAACAGGGTACCAGGTTCAAGTCCTGCTTGGAAGCGGAAGGATTTTTCCTGCCGTGCTGCGACCCGCAGTCAATTGGGAACTCGTGGTCTGGCAGGAGGAGAACATGGATGCAGTGAATGGGATTTTCGGTCTTTGACCACTTGCTGGTGAGCTGATCTACTCGCCTCCCACCGCTTTAGGAGCTGCATCTGCGCCTTGATCCTTGAAGGGTGGTGGCGTTCCTACGGATGCGGAAAACTCGGTTTCCAGCCGAGTCTCACGCGAACCGTGACATTTTTTTCTTTTCCCCGGATCGATATGTCTCCACTAAGCATGTATACGTTTTATCAGAGTGTGTTCTAGCTGGGTTCCCATATACTTAAATGTATCGTCACTCTTGCGAATGGTCATGTGACAGGTCGTTTGGATTCATCACGTATGGACATAGAGACAATAGCACGTGTACCACTACCGGCTCGTTTGTAAAAAAATTACGGTTTATCGTTTCGCTTTTTTCCTGTTTTTCTTCTCTGATTTAGGTGGCGAGACTACACGGCAGGCATTCTCTGTGCTACCGGACAACGGAGAGTCCACGTCACCTTCTGCAGTCGGTACCGTACGCCCTGGAACACATACAGACGGTGTACACATAGTACCCACTCCCACAGGCAGTGCTACCCCATCTACAGTGACCACCTCGCATGCGTCGTTGACAGCCGATCAGCTCACACGCCTACAGGAGTTTTCCCGCGACATAGCTCGGCTGGAAGATTCCGACAGTCACGGAGAGACCACACAGGCACCGAGAAGCACAATGAAACGCATCACAGCATCTCTACCCAACAGCAGCACTGCGGTCGGCGGCGGTAAACTAGCGACGGACCCAGTACCAGCGTTGGGTCGTGCTCCTGTGCTCGTGCCCATGTCACCTCCTCGCCGGCATTCCGCTGGTTTGGGCCCGCTGGCTACTCACACTGGGCTGGCACAAACACTACGCACCTCATTGCCACACTCAGTGTCAAGCGCTGGGGAACCCCCAAAGGCAGCTGTGATGGGGGAACCCCCGAAGTCGGCCGTGAAGAAGGAGCCGACATCGTCCGTCAAGTCCAAATCCACATCGAAGACGGGCAACAGAAAAGCCACGGTGGTGGATTCTGGGACGTCGAGACCTCGTGTGAAGACGGCACGAGTCAATCCGATAAGCACAACGGCGACGTCATCAGCGAGGAAGCCAGCGAAGCGCAATCTTTCCACGGAGTTCTCACGTCCACACTCATGATCCTCTACAGCATGCACATATGTCAGGGCGGTGGAAACGGGGCGGTTGCTCAGGCCATCACCTGCTCAACTGCTTGACCACCAGCCCATGTTTACTGCCAGGGAAATCATGTGTACTCTCCATATTATATCCCCCCCCCCCCTCCATATTATTCCCCCCCCCCCCCATTCATATTATACCCCCTCCCCCTCCCCCGTATTATACACGAAGTATTAGAGACAATGGTGTGGCTGGACCACTCAATAACTGCTTTCACCGGACCTGATTATGTGTATGACTGCAGATACATACATTGTTAGTAGACTGGTTATGTGTATGACTGCAGATACATACATTGTTAGTAGACTGGTTATGTGTATGACTGCAGATACATACATTGTTAGTAGACTGGTTATGTGTATGACTGCAGATACATACATTGTTAGTAGACTGGTTATGTGTATGACTGCAGATACATACATTGTTAGTAGACTGGTTATGTGTATGACTGCAGATACATACATTGTTAGTAGACTGGTTATGTGTATGACTGCAGATACATACATTGTTAGTAGACTGGTTATGTGTATGACTGCAGATACATACATTGTTAGTAGACTGGTTATGTGTATGACTGCAGATACATACATTGTTAGTAGACTGGTTATGTGTATGACTGCGGATACATACATTGTTAGTAGACTGGTTATGTGTATGACTGCAGATACATACATTGTTAGTAGACTGGTTATGTGTATGACTGCAGATACATACATTGTTAGTAGACTGGTTATGTGTATGACTGCAGATACATACATTGTTAGTAGACTGGTTATGTGTATGACTGCAGATACATACATTGTTAGTAGACTGGTTATGTGTATGACTGCGGATACATACATTGTTAGTAGACTGGTTATGTGTATGACTGCGGATACATACATTGTTAGTAGACTGGTTATGTGTATGACTGCGGATACATACATTGTTAGTAGACTGGTTATGCTCAGGTACTACTATTGGTATGCATAATTTACACACTGGAAAGTCAGAGTTACAACCAACCTGAACGTCCTCCGCTGAGTCTGCTTTGTTCTATGCTCTATGGTCAGTGACAATGAGCACTCACGTGACTCTGCAGCTCGGGGGCCAACGGATTTGCGAGCACGGCGCACTATGCAGCTTGGCAGGAAGATGAAATATGTAATAGGGATGAAAACACGAGATCGACTGTCTGTTTAAAAAAAAGCTCTATTTTCTTTTACTTCGAAGTAGCTGATAGTTCTGTCCGTGAGCTGTGAAATGAATTTCAAATGATCAATACCAGCAGGCCTGGTTGTTTGCACCTGAAATCTACCTAGTGCTTTGTGAGAAGCAGGAATATCATATTATCAGAATATTTTTACGCAGCCAACGAGTATCTTTGTGTCATCTATTGGTGACTCTACCGGCTTGAATCATATCGAAAGTTGTAATTACTCTGTGAGGAGAAGTTTGTCTCATTTGCTGGTCGCAGTCACGTAGATCATTTTTATAATTATTAATTTTTCTGACTACAATAACTCTCCTCTCCCTAGCTGCTCAGTGTTGGTGTTGATTGTTTGCATGTGCAGTGCCTATGTGATGGGGGGGGGGGGGAGGAGGTGATGGAGCTGGTGCATGGGATAGCTCACATTTGACCAGGGACCAGTAGGGGTGTCGGTGCAGGTTGACGGCAGAACCATGCCAGTCAAGTTTCAAAGTACATGTACTGTACTGTACACTCACGCCTGGCGCCAGCCTGTGTCGTACGAACACGCTGTATATTCCACATTCGTAGAGAGGAGCGGAACTAAATTTTTAACGCTGAAATATTCAGATTTAGGCTCATCAAGAATCTTGGTACGTGTACGTGTTCGCCAACGTCAAAAGTCCATGTCTTGTGCGCACGTTTTGGGGGTAAGAAAACTATTTTTCCTTGTCGAAAGGATTATCTATGTTTCTGACTTTTTGATTTGCAGACTAGATCCCGACCGAGGACTGGGAGCATGTTCCATGTGCATGAAGTGGCAAGGCCTCGAGGATTAGCATGCATGATGCAATACATTTGGCAGGTTATCCACTTCCTTGCCGACCCCCTTTGCCTAAACACACACACACACACACACACACACACACACACACACACACACACACACACACACACACACACACACACGCACGCACACACACACACACACACACACACACACACCCTTATTTATTTATTTACTTCGAAGTATTTTATTCCAAGCAATACATGGCTGGGGTAGCCAATGACCGCTTTGCGTGGCGATTGCAGGGTTCTTATAGCCAACCACGGCTATAAAAACACACATACTTATACTTGTCCATGAAAAGCCTCTTGCACGGGCAAAGCAAATGTGCTTACATAATTATTATGACACAAAATCTCAATACAAAAAAATGAACGAAACGCCAAGAATCTGAAGAAAAAACTCAATCCAATTCTTTGTTGCCATAACGGGAACTGAAACCTAACACAAATCTGAGAAGATGGCAGTTGGCGGTCTCGCGGGAACAAAACTACCAAACGTAAGCACTAACAATGTTGAAACATGGTTGCAGGAGACTAACTACAAGTAAGCAAGCAACGCATACAAAGAAAAATCAGACAATTAAACACATTTAATACCGTCTAGGCCACTGAGCTGGACAGGCAGCGGTGCAAGAAGCCGTGGTCTCGCCTACGGCCATACGAACCCCTGCACCCGCGGAAGCATGTTATGGCCCAACGGAGCAGGGTAAACGACAGGAGGCTCCGAAGCTCACCCATCACTACCGAGTAGGCAAGCTCGCTATGCTTCTCCATCAGTTGCGATGCCAATGCCTTCAAACATAATGTCGTCTCTTTACCGCACATGCCGGAGGTACTGAAAACGAGAGGAGTGAAAGCTCCACGATCCACTCTACTTGTACTTGTTGCTCACTGCCAAAACTGGTCACGTGGGTCTTTCCGGGAGAGGGGAGAGAGACTCAAAAGGAATCTTGGAAAGATGACTCAATTGGCTTTGAACTGCCCAACGGCCGACACCCCCTGAAATCCCCAAAACTCTGGGTGGACTTAAAAAAGATCCCACTTATGGGCTCACCACACCTCAGTAAGTGGGTGAGGACAAGGTGCAGAAAAAGGATTGACGGCATCAGGGTATCCGTCCAGGGATCCAACTGCAGTTACCCCTGCCCCCAGTGAAGGTAATACTTGCTACAACTTGGTGTGGGGAGCAAACCCTTTCTTACTTGAGTATTATTATTATTATTATAATTTTTAAAAGAGGTCGGAGGCGGATAATACTTTAAAACGAAGGTAAGTTATGGGTCGCAAGTATCCACGCAAACACACATCCAGTCATAATAAGGCACTTGTCATAAGTATCCGAACGTTTTCGGTCCCTTCTCATCAAGGATTATACAGGGAATGGCTCAAGTTGGAAAGACTAAAACTTATATAGCGTAAAGATAATTAGATAACAACACTCGTGACAAGGTGGAAAATTATCAAGTTTAGCACGACACAAAACTCGAAGGAAAATAATAATAGTGACAACAACATAGTGAGCAAATTAAGTTACATTGTTACCACCTCGACGAGGAGTAACACCAAACAATTGTAGTGACAACACATTTTCTTTCTGTACGCAAAGTTCAGGATCTAACTTACGGATATACAAAGCTTCTAACACAGTGCGTGCGTTCGGTGTGAAGAAGGATGTTCTACCTACCCTTAGTAAAAGTAACCTTATCTATTTCTTTCAATACCGACAATGTGAAGATCGGTATGTAGGTAGAACCCTTCAGCACCTGGGCGCACGCATTCGTCAACATGTGCCGTTAAGTTGTGTTCCGCTTGATGCGCGCGATTGTCGTCCTCGCCGTGGCCGTCCTCCAAAATGTGCTGTCCAGTCCATCGGTGGATCTTCCTCTTCCCGTGAAGATGTGACTGCATGCCCGTCCTCTTCTGCGTGTGTAGGACACGGGCCAGCTGAGAACAGCATAAAAGACGGTGAAAGACCGACACGTAAACCACCGAAACTGACAAAGGATCTGTCGGCGTCGGAAAGGGTGACGAGAAGCCAAGTGAAAATACGGACTGGTGAGGACGAACGTACAACGACAACGGAAGTGACAACAACAGTCAATATTCGAAAACGTGGTAGACCGCGAAAACTAACCTCAATATCGGACACCGGACAAGTTGGAGTAAGAAGCTCAATAGAAATCCGCAATGGAGGAGACGTAGCTGAAAGGACACTGGGTATCGCGCAACCAACGGTTAGTGTCAAGAAACGTGGAAGGCCGCGGAAACGCGAAGAGACGGATAGTGGTGATGCCACGAAGAGGCGAGATGACGGGACATTGGAGGAGACAACACCCAATGGAGCTAGGAATCGCACTTCGTAAATCAAACAACATCTGTCAGCCCGTACCAATTGTCGTGAGTTGTACAGTGATAATGTTTTCTCAATATTGTCACGTGGTAGATGTGCGTTGCATTTGGCTGTGTTAGAAGCTTTGTATATCCGTAAGTTAGATCCTGAACTTTGCGTACAGAAAGAAAATGTGTTGTCGCTACAATTGTTTGGTGTTATTCCTCGTCGAGGTGGTAACAATGTAACTTAATTTGCTCACTATGTTGTTGTCACTATCATTATTTTCCTTCGAGTTTTGTGTCGTGCTAAACTTGATAATTTTCCACCTTGTCACGAGTGTTGTTAACTAATTAACTTTACGCTATATAAGTTTTAGTCTTTCCAACTTGAGCCATTCCCTGTATAATCCTTGATGAGAAGGTACCGAAAACGTTCGGATACTTATGACAAGTGCATTATTATTATTATTATTATTATTATTATTATTATTATTATTATTATTATTATTATTATTATTATTATTATTATTATTATTATTATTATTATTATTATTATATTATGTGCTTGTTCGCGTAGACATCAGCATGGCCTGCAGCTGCATTAATGGGCACGCAAATCATGCAAACCAGCCAAAAGTGTTCGCATAAGCCACTTCGAATAGTATGACTACTAGTATGGGTGGCTAAATCAGAGTGGATCTGATATAAGCCTCACTAGCACCATTGATTACACAAGAGTTAATCTAGCCAGAAGCAGTCCATGGTTAACAGGTATGTATACTTCAAATAGAAAGTATATGAACCCTGGAACCAACAAAGGTGGCAGGTACAACATTACACCTTCAAGTAGCCGAGCCCGTTGGCAACAGATCCAACACAATCAGGCATAAGTGTACCCACCAACCAAACTAGCTGACAACACACATACACCCCCCCCACACACACACATAAAATTATCATGAATGGAGCTCAACTACGGTCAAGGAAAGGGGTTGGCCATTACTTCACAAGTACAGGAAATGGGAGTCCTGAAAATAATATGCATCATGTACATGTAAATTGTCTAAGTTCAGTGAATGTATCATAATGATGTTTGATGTTGTAACAGTTCACAACAGAACAACAAGTAGCAGCAAACAAGCCTTGATTGTCCTTGTTGTTCTGTTGTGTATTACGCTCTGCCTTTGTGGTGTTGAGCACTGTCAGCACTCTGGGTACATCCTTCGGTGTTGTAACAGTATAAATTTCGAACATCAGACATACAGTCTGTGCATTTGATGCTACAAATGTTCGTGTTACACAGGGAAGGCTCGTACATGTATGTGCTGTTAGTAGCCCTTTCCCAAAGATGCCAAAATATTTCCCAACTTATCACCCTCACTTAACTATTTACATGATTGTGTTTCGTAATCCCGTCCATGGTGCGCTGGATAGCGCTAACGCCGAGACCCTAGGTCGGCGTTGCTAGTCCCGCCTCGCCGGCACAGGCTCCCTGAGAGCCCCTACTAGTACATTGTCTGTCTTTCTCCTTTGTTGTCTCGATCATTATTTTCTTTTGTCTTCTTCTTCTCCTTTCTTTGTTATGGTCTATCAGTACGAGGTGCATTCTGTAAAAAAAGCCAATATACTTCATAGTAGTTATGATGAAGAAAGGAAAAGGAAAAAATGTTACGAGTTGTGACAAACTGTCCACCAACGTAACCAGATCTTATACAGTCAGCGAGTGCGACTAAATGGCACAAAATTGACAAGGAGTATTGAGACATTCGGCGACCTGACACCTAGCTCCAACACTTCTCCAAGGCGCAAACCAACAACCTTCCAACTTGGAAGGCTCAGGTTCGGAAAGGTCCAAGAGGGGAAGGAAAGCGCAACAAAGAAGAGCACAAGGTACGCATCACGGCAACCTTCGCATTGTTTGTTGCCGTGATGCGTAGCTCGTGCTCTTCTTTGTTGCGCTTTCCTTCCCCTCTTGGACCTTTCTCAACCTGAGCCTTCCAAGTTGGAAGATTCCGCTGCATACAGCTCGCTGAGCATCCCATTGCTTTGTAAGTGGCTAATCCCTTTCCACTTTGTGTACGTGCTCTTCATTTTCTTTTTTTCTCTTCTTCCGTGGTTGGTCTCACCCTCTCCTCAATTCAATTGGCTGTCTTGACATGCCACGAGGTGCAGAAATAAATTTTTTAATAAAAAATAAAAAATAAGAAGACATACGGGAACAAAGGCTACCGCGAAACACATGGATGGAAATGCGCACTTCGACCCCAGGTTAGACTCGACTGGAGAGTCAGAGTTCGTAACATACATGTACATGTAAGCTGTTCCCCTGGAATAAAGCATGCGTAAGCGAAGTATTCATCCCCAGTGGCATGCAGTAAATCCAGAGCAATAAGATTTCATTCTTGTCACGCTAGCCAATGGAACAGACTACATGTATTTCCTGCTTGTTCCCATTATCAGTTGTAGCAAGAATAGGCTTGGTTGGTATGACGAATGTTGATAACATGACCAAAACACCTTGGGGATTGCATCAACAAAGCTGTTTATCTTTGAATAGACTGGACTAATTCTTGTTTGTAAAACTTGTAGTCTGCTCACCGGCACTTTGATGTTATGGTGACAATTAATGGTCAGCCTTAAGTACGCATTGAACTCGCGGAGCGGAGACGCTGCATGGTTTGGTACTCATGACGTTCACGTGAGGACGGACCATCTCTCAACAACCTACAATGTAATGAGCACAGAATGAATGCTTGCTACGAAGGCAAACACTGTAAATAATGCATTACTATAGCCAAGCTTACAAGACCGTGGAAACAAGAATTCTGTTGGCGAATGCAGAGCTAGCACTAAATACCATTGCATTCTAATAATTATTACTCTTGCTAGTACTCGAGAAGTACTAATCCAGTGGATATCGCTCTCTTAGTTCTGCTTCTTCTTCTTCATCTTATAACGGAGCATCAGCAAATCGAATTTTCGAGTGAAATTCGAAAATCGTCACGAAAGCACTCAATCAGTCGAAACTAGGGCTTTGTTCGACTGAAAAATGCCCGCAAAGAGAAAATACTTTTCGAATACTTTTCGAATGCTCCGCGCGTGCTCTAGTACACAGCGCACTACGAGTACTGGTACTCATACTTGCGCCTGTACTGTAGCTACTAGCTCCTACTTACATGTAGCTACATGTAGTCGTAGTTGTAAATGGCTAAGTGCACAAGGCACAGTCGAACCGGACTTCTTGACGCTATCCTCTCTCTCTCGAACTGTGAAAGGTTCTGTCAAGTGTGCTTTTTGTTTCATTTCAAGATCCTGGAATCATGGCTTTTTTCACCAACTACTAGTACCAGCCCCGCGGTATATGCCTCCTGCTCCCAGTAACCCTGCTGGCATTGCCTCGGCATCTGCGTCTATGGTGAGTTCCCCGCAGGGAGAGGACAACTCAAAGTGTGCCAAATATTTGAGGTTCGACCTCACCATGGATCTCATTCTGCTGAGGCAGTGTTGGGCCCACCCTCAGCTATTCGTCCGCGGGTCTCCTGATATGCAAGGGATAGCCGAGGAACTCGGCCGAGATCCGCCTTTTCAAGGGGTCTCCAAGAGAGATCCTATCGCCAATAGCCTGAATCGGATGAAGCATCCGCCGCTTCGCGTCATCCTCAACGGCAATGAAAAACATTTTAAAACAGCAGCAACTCCATTCTGTCCAGGTGACCTTCAGCGAACTCAAGGAAGAGAAGCGAATCCAACAAATCGACTTGCTCTGCAACAAACGCAGCCATTGCACATCTCAAAATCCCAGTCCTCAACTACTCAGGCTAGAACTCGATTCGAAAATACTGGACTGCGCTACATGCTGAACCTCTTTTTCATTCGAATTTTCGGTCTGATTTTCTCTTTGCCATTCAAATAATCAAATCGAAAATTCGATTTGCTGATGCTCCGTATTATTATTAATATTTAAGTTTTGAATAGGGCAATCCCCACAGGCCTAAGGTCTTTTCACAGAGTACGCTATGAGAGAGTTCCAGCGGAATCCAGAAAGCTCAAAGCGAATAAGCCATAACTTATTTGAGGTATCTCACTAAAATGAATCAAAAACAACAAAAACGTCTCACTGTCCGACTGCTCACGGTCCTTCTATTCATGGTCTTAACATATCAATAATTATCGCAGCTATCACTGATACCCCGTTGCTACAATCATTCATGTTCCTTACATGCAGACACCTACCCCGGGTAGAGTGGATGTGGCAAAGACGCCGTCCCCTTGTTAGTACGGCTTCCGGGTGACGGAATGTACCGATACTAGTCCAAGCGACATATTCAAGACGATCCGGTTGTATCTATTGCAGACTGTCACCTTAAGCACATAACTACTACTGAACGAATGTCCTGCATTATTCATGTTCACGAGGCCAATGGCGTATCTACATACAGTAATACCGATGTATGAACTAAACGTGTGCTGCTGGTATTTAGCTGTTCGTCTGACTGTGCGCTGGATGAATGTGGACAACCGTGTCGGACCTGCACCAGCCCACGAGGCACAACACAGTACTCCAACCAGGACACGGACACGGGCAAGCTGTAGCTCAAGTCATTTCCGTTGTCTTCACTGTCGTCTAGTCTGTAAAAGTCGACGTACGTCTTGTTTGATTTCTCACAACAGCCTTTGGCAGGGTGAAGGCAGGTCAGACTATTTCTTTGAAGTGAAATTTGTGTGATTGTAAACCTGTCTTGCTGTTGGAGAGTGGATCTGGTACAGCATGGACTTGCGTGGTGTCCTTTTCCTGATTGGAATATGCCTAGGCTTACCGGCAAACACAAATGCCCAGGACGCTATCCAGCCTTTAGATCCTGATTCCGTGGATCGGTTTTTGCAGGCACCAAGGCCCGCTGAATCCGCACTGATCATCGATAACTTGGGCGCGGTCTACACCCACTGGGGAAAGAGCATCTGCTCCGAACAGGCAACACTCGTTTACAGCGGATTCGTCGGCGGGACATGGTACGCGAGTAAGGGAGGCAGTTCCACGTATTTGTGCATGCCTATGGAGCCTGAATACAGCCTGTTTATCAAGAAGAAACAATCGAGAACCGTACTACAAAGCTCAGAACTACAAACACCGTCCAAGCAGATTCCAGCTTTCGGAGATCTTTACCAGAACACGCCAGCCTGTGCGGTGTGCCAAGCGTTCCGCCGTCCAGCGCAGTTCATGTTCCCAGCGAGAATGACGTGCCCGGATGGCTGGACCAAGGAATATGATGGGTACTTGATGACGGCAAACAATCGCCACAGACGTACCGAATATCTCTGTGTGGACGGTCAGCCTGAAGCTGTTCCGAACACGAGCAAGAATGTCAACGGCGCCCTGCTGTACTTCGTCGAGACGAACAGTAAAACCCACGTGCCCAGCACGTACACACCGGAACGAGAACTGACCTGCTCCGTCTGTACTAAGTAACCAAGGCGACCCACTGCATACGTCATGCGCCATACGTCATGCGCCATCTCTGATCTATCCTTCCTCACTGGTCCGCACGATAAGTATTTTTTCTGTACGCCGAGCATTCCAGCCATTCGCACCTCTCCACTCTCTCACCTCTCCATTCTAGATTTTCATCCCAACGAGCTTACCAGGCACAGGCAACATGACTGTAGGTAGGAAACAATGAATGAGTTGACAGATCACTCAAACACTCCTGCCGTGTCCTGTGTTGATGCTTTGTTAGCGCATTTACCTTCCCAGTCACAGCTGAACATGTCTGCAGCAAGAAAGAACGATTTCTTGAATGTGAAACAAAGGACAGAGTAGGCGAGTGATAAGTACTGCTTACCTTACTCACATAGGAAAGGGTTTGCTCGCCAACCTGGAGCTTGCTGCTTCAATGTTTCTTACCCACAATCACATGTACATGCTCAGTGCCGGCAACTGAAATCCGACCCTTGAGCCGTGCGCTCACATCGCAAACACCCAACAGGGGGTTGTAACACTACAAAATAGAGACCGCTAGAATGTGAACGCACCGCTCGGGGTTCGGATTTCAGTTGCCAGTACTGTACATGAAGTTACTGTAGCCGACTACTGCATGGCATAAGCTGTTGCACCATTGAATTCTCACTACCGGTACTTCTTCATCATTCGTTGTAGCACCTTGCATGAATTCCGGCTGCACATTAAACCTTCCTATTTTCCATTTGCGTAGAGGATCTCACATTGGCTACCATTCACCGTGCATTTCTGCAGGATCCTTCCTTGCCCACTGCCCATTCCATGCAGCTCCGATCTCTGTCTATGCCCTGATCTGTTTTGCTTCAGTAATTGTGACTCCACAGGTCTTCGGATTCTGACTAGGACCGTTGTATGTGTGTGTGTGTGTGTGTGTGTGTGTGTGTGTGTGCGTGTGTGTGTGCGTGTGTGTGTGTGTGTACTACTGTAAGTACTTGCCAATTCAGACTTGGACAGTTGTGTGTTACATACAGCAGCATAGGAACGATTTGAGGCACAAAGTTGAACTGCCACTGTGATAACTCGCTCGGACAGCGTTCCGGTTAGTCTCGTCTGGCTGGATCGCTAACCTCGGAACGTTTTGTGACCAGTGTAGCCACGGCTGGTACGGAACGCAACTTCACCCAATCCTAGTCCCAACACACACACACCAACTGATCTCGTCAGAGCAGAGAATATGTTCAGTGTTTGGAAGAAGAGCACCGAAAGAACCTCTCGCTAAAAGCAACAGCATGCTATGATATAACACATTGTAGAAAACAGCAAGCAGCGGCAGTAGCGATAGTACTTGCTTAACATGCAGCTAAACTGCTACTTTGTCCTCTGCGCGGAACGGCGATCGGACACGCACACGCATACACATACACATACACGCACAGGTCTGCGTGATCTAGAAGCGGCGGTCATCATGATAACATAAATATGCAAAGTGTGAAAGAGTATTAGAAAGGGGAGAGACTAGACCCGGCGTCTAGACTGCAATAACCTGATTAAAAGCATTGCCAACCAAGTGGTCAAGTAGGTGCACTCACACTCATCCACACCTCGCGTACTACTACTATATTGCGAATTCATAATTACATTGTATTGCACTTTCTACCGCAAGTGCACAGTCGTGCGCTTCATCTATTGACAGCCAAACCTATCATTCTACAGGTAGGTGATATAGCTGGCACACACCGTATAGTATATTGTACAATAACTGTTCCAACTACAGAAGACATAGTGTGTCCACGTTCTACGCACAGTAGCTATCAGAAGTTAGTAATAGTTACAAGCCCTCACTCCCGGGCTATGACACCACAAACGCTCACAAAATTCTTAGGAGACAAGAATGCAATGATAATAGAACCAGCGAAAGCAACAGTTGCCTTTGCTTTACATTAGGAAGTGTTTGACCTCTGCAACTCCATGAATTTGCAGAAGAAAAAAGAAAACAAATGCGGGACTCTGACTCTTGCTAATACGGGAAGGACACGTGTATAGGGCCAATAGAGAGGTTAAGATGCACGTTATTTCCGACGTGACGCGCAGTTTCATGTCAAATTTGGCGTAAAACTCCAAATTTTGCCGTGAGCAGCAGGTCACTCGCGTTGATTTTTCGACGTGCGAGCCAAATAACGCGAGCTGAACTTTCGCGTCACGTCAGAAATAACGTGCATCTTAACCTCTCTATTATCCAAGATGGGTGAGTTCTGTCATACCTACATGCAAGCGTGCTATGAACTCAGTATTCCATTATACCCGATTCTGGGACATCTCTCTGAGCACTAGTACCAGTCCTACTAACTGATTTGAAGGGCATGTCGTTTTTTATCAATTTATAGATATGTTTTATAGCTCACTTTACTTGACCTCACGCTAAATATTTACCTATTTTCTCTCCAAATATATGAACTGGATGTGAGAGAGTTCTGGAACTATCTAAGGGGTTGTTCACAAGCATGCATCATGTTGGAGGTAGTGAACTCTTCCAACATCATCAAGCTGAGTATGTCGCTAAACACACCACAGCCACAGGGTTCATTTCAAGCACATCCTTATCAATTGCATGCACATGTACGATACGTAACATTTACATGTAAGTGTACGTGTATATGATTGCCCGTGGTCACGTCGTGTGACTGCAGCGACTCCTTGCTCTCACACGAATGACGTAGTGTTTGCACATCCTCTTGGCATTTTAATTCAAAGAAGACTTAATGTTTACTATTCGATCTCATTTTGTTAGTCTACCGGCTGGTGACTGCAGAACATCGATCAAGCCTTGCTCGGCCGTCAGGACCGAACGGTACTACAAGTTCCAGGTGACCTGAACGTTCATGGAGATCTACTCTCTTCTTCAGCCTCTGGTCGTCAGGTTGTTAACATTCTCCTACAGTACAATACATGTATGCATACCTACATGTATGTGTAAATGTACGTATTGTCGCGGCTCACACGGCTCACTACTAGGGCATGTACATCTGCAGGGAACGATCGAAACCTTTCTTGTCCAACTCTGGTTTAGCAGATATACAGTGTATGCCAGACTTGGTGCCTCGATATATCTGATCACTTCGCCATGCTTGCTCAGCTTCCCCACGTATGCAATTCCAGCCAGAAGAAGGGAAATACCCCACATGTCAGAGTTACAAGTACACAAGCACCGCATTGCATAGACTAGGAATGAGCAATGCACAACGTGAAGCTAACATCACTATCCTGGTGCTCGATGAGCGCCATTGTGATAACAGCCACTCAGGAACACAACAGATGGGGATCTTAGGGAGGAGAGATCCATTCACCGTATTTAAAGAGCCTCTTTGGCCGGGCTGTGAAGGTGTCGTTACACCGTGTATTTCAAGTCACTTCAATGTACTTCGAAGTAGTCAATCATGTATGGCGCTTACATCTAACACTAGTGTCAGATGCAAATTGTGAGTTTCACGTAATGGCACGGTAAGTTACAGTAATATTACATGCATACTGGTGTCTATTATTTAAAAGCCCTGACATTTTAATGTTAGTTCTCCCTTGCCACACCAGTGGTTTGTATTGCGGCAAGTATTAACCGTTCGGCTAAGGCGCTCGGACTGACACCTGTAGAGAGTTGTTGAGGCTTCCACTAAGTTCTTCTCGCAGATGCACTGTAATCCCTTAAGAAACTATGCGTCACAATGCGTTTTTGGGTTTTCGGGGTTTGCATTTCTATTGCATTTTCCTCATTCATTGGCATTGTGTTTCTTTTGCCCGTGACCGAGGTTTGAGTACGTGCGTCACACTGCAGCGGCTGAGCCAGCCCCTATAGTGATCAGGCACATGAATAAAATGCACGTCCATGGCGGTTAACTTCTCAGTGTTGCAGACCAAAAGGGAGACATGTAGCGGCCTCCACATGATACGCTCAGCGCGTGTTGGCACATTGCGAATCATAACTGCGTTGGTCCCGTAGTGGTGACATTATTGTTTCAGAAAGGGTTTTCTGATCATCGCTCTCCAAGTCTTGACATGAAGGTTTTAACTTTGCTGTCGACATGTTTTGTATTTCTACTGATGTACTCGCTGCTCCGATGTTCAGTCTGTGAGAGTAAAAATCTACCGGAGTATTACGGACGAGAGTACTTCGTTTCCAGTGATGATGATCCTAATCCCAGTCTCGCAACTGTTACTCAAGTCGAGCAGTTACAGGTCGCAGTACAGGCGCTTATGCAGCAGGTTGCTAATCTATCCACTGTGCTCTCAGCACGTTTGGATGATCTCACAGTGCAAGTCGACACAGTGGCAACACGAGCGAGCGCACTGGAAACTCAACAGACGAGTCAAGCCCAGCAGCTGAATAGTTCGGAAACGTCCACTACCCAACAGCTCACGAATGTGACCAGTCAACTCCAGAAGGCAGCAGAGGATGTCCATGCCTTACAGCAAGCAATGGTGAGCACTGCAAGCGGTGTGCAAACTCTTCAAGATAACGTTAGTGGTATTGCGGTAGTGTTGGACACGACTCAATCCCAGGTTACCCTCCTGGACAGAGCCCAGGCAAATCTCACCGATCAAGTGGAGCGTGCGAAAACAACGTTCACGCACTGGGGAGGAGATGATTGCAACTCATCGCCCATGCTGTACAATGGGTTTCTGGCAGGACCATTCTATACTGACATAGGCGGGGGCACCAACTATCTATGCATGCCTTTCGTGCCAGAGTACAGCGGCTTCGTCCCGGGTGCGCAAGCTATATCTAGTGAAATCCATACCAGCGAGTTGCAGACGGACTTTCCCTCTCTTCCTCTATTCCAGGCCAAGTATCAACAGACGCCTGTCTGCGCAGTCTGTGAAACGTCAGCACAGCTTATGCTACCAGGACGCCTGACATGTCCTAATGGCTGGACGAAAACCTACCAGGGTTACCTGATGACGGATAATGACAGCCGCACTGACTACAAGTACATCTGTATGGATAGCAACCCGAAAACACT